CATGTATGGTCTTGTCTATTGGGGTGGGATGGGTGGGGAAGGAAATCAACCAACATAGCTACTGCAGAATAGGTTATTAATTTGTAGATATTTTAAGTAATCCTCTGGATGGACAAGCTATCCTGGCATTTCAATGAAGGTCCAGTTTGGACTTCCATTTTGGAATAGCTGAAATGGGAAAAATACAGTCTTTTGGGTGCTAGATGCCAAGTCTCTCACTTCCCTCTCCACATCCTAGCCAAAAGGCTGCTGTAGCAGCTTCTAGCACTTGGCTGTACCTGGTGCATCAGTAACAGGCTACTGGCTCCGCCAAAAAAAAAGCCTGATCAACTGAGGCAAAGGCAAGGAATAGAAAAAACAGTCCCCCTGGCTGGATCCAGCCCATGATCCACTAGTTGGACTACCCTGCAATCTAAAACTCACTCCAAAATACATAATTGGCAATAACCTATGTCAGTTATTCTCCCGTGTGTAAACAAAGGCCCATCTTTAACAATGTGAACCAGGAAAATCTCTAGCACCATGGAATTTGTTTGAATTTTAACCCATATAAGGTTATAAATGTATTTTAAAACTACCGTAACAATAAAATACTTGGACTAACATTTTAAAAAAATATCTTGGAGAAAGATTAAGAAATTGGGAGTAAAATTAGAAAAATGGGAAAGAATAACATAAAAGATTCAATTTGAGTCTCTGATATGCAACTAACTACAGGCAAGTGGCAAAACTGTACCAAGGACACAAAACACGCTGAAGTATTCACATTAACAAATCGTTTTGAAGGCTCATCTAGTAACAAATTAGAGTGTTGCTGAGTCATTTAGGTTTAGGCATAATCAATTTAGCATTGACGTTTTAAATCTATCATGTGCACATCACCACATTATGCAAAAAACCAGCCCTTTCAAAACGCGTGGTAGAAAAATTCACAGTAACAGAAATATTCTTCATAAGCAGTTGAGAAGGGGCAGTGTCGAGCATCTAATTCATACAATACAAAAACCATTGTAAATAACAGAGCTGTAAAACAGACGCAAAGTTCTAAAAACAGTGCTTTCTTTACAGTTCTTTTAATGGGTGAACACTTTGGCCAGAGAATTTTAAACTCTGAGGATCACACAAGCCTTTTCTTAAATATACAATTAGATCCTCTGACGTTTCAAAGGCCATTTGCTACAAGATTTACCTCTTCTACTTTCTAAAAGTGTTCCCATCAAGTAGTCATTATGAAGGGATCCATCTGATGACACTATCCCAAAAAATCAATACATGTTCAACCATTGCTAATGACAGAGGTAGAGAAAATTCTGTCTTCTGCCACAGCTTGTACCCCCATTTTTAGCATTGTGTTGAGTGGGTTCCAGCAGTGAAGACACATGCACTTTCTTTTCCACCAGCTTGCTCATGGAAACAAATTTGTTCCAGCATGCTCTTGTAGTCTGAAAACATCCAGCAGCTGTTCTAGTCGGTCAAAGACAGATGTCAGCTTTCTTGCTTTGCTGCCTCCCCTTGGGCCTCCCCAGTTTGCTCACTTGGATTTCGTTGTGCATCTCCTTCTCCTTCTATAACATACAAGAAAAGGACGAGTGATCCACCCTAAAACAAAGAGGTCTTGCTTCCAGAACCCCAATTGTTCATCCACCAGTCTCAAAAATAAAGTAAAAAGAAATTGAAATGGAAGTCTTGCATTAAATATGAAACCTTTTACTACTAAGATAGCCATACTGTGCACCTCAAGGGACACTGTCAAAAACAAATTCCTAGCTGCAACCACCACTACCATTTTAAGTACAGACCTAAAGTAGCTAGAAATGAAAGAATATCCATAGACATTAGCAGGTTGTTAGCTTATTATAGACAAAGAACACTAGAACCGTTGTTTTGAAGGGAGAGTATTACACAGTAATTATATGTACTGTACATAATTATGCAGTAAACTCTTGATTATCTGTCATTGGTTCATCAATGGTGGGATTAACCAGCACTCACTTCAGGTATCAAATAGTGCATGACAGAAAATATGTGGTCTTTTAATAAGGCCTCACTGCCTAGTGCTGTTCAAAGCTGTTCCTGTTCTTTAAAGGAAATATATCTGCAGACTTTTCAAAGTCAATGTACTAACTATGCTTGGGTACCTTAATTTACATATGTTTGATAATAACCTCTTTTTTTTTAATCTGCATTATCCTACTCTGCCATTAATCCATGCAGTTGAAAGCAAATGTACTTGTACTTTTGCAAGAAAATGCATATAGCTGTAATAAGAATAAAAGAAAAACAGCAAAAAAAAAAATCGAAACTTGATGTCTATATTTGTATAATTAGGTAGTACTTAGCATGAATTGTTTGACATGCACCTTGAAAGAAACAAGATATGACCCCCAAACATGTGTCTTCCTCTTAATCCTGTCAGGTGTGACGTGTATATGCATCCCGCAAGCACTAGTTTATTCTCAACTGGAATTGGGGATGCAAAATTTTTTTTAGCCTCTCTTTGGTTTGGAAAGACATGATGGGGTAATACACTAATACTCATACGAATGATAATACAATGTATTTTTCCAGTATTTATGGTTTGGAGGCTTTTATCCAGGTGTACTAATAGTACAAAATTTAAATATATTTTCATTGTATCTAATTCAAACTGCATAGCCTCCTGAAGAAGTATGCAGGCATTTTTGTGTATCTACTACCTAAGGTAATTTTATGAGCAACTCTGCGCACTTTTCTGCAATGGTTAAGTTACCCAAGCTGCAAAAGAGGTCTCCAAGAAAAACTAAAATAGACTTCTGAATTATGTATTAAAAATTAGGCTAACAGTTATTTAAACCATTCTCATCACTACAGAGCTAACTGCATGTACAAAATGCATACCAACATATATTACAGGCACAAAGTCACATTGTTTTTATAGCTCACGAAAGAACACAATTCTGGCTTACAATCGCTCCAACAGCTTAACTTAAAAATAAGGATTGTTTATATCTTCTAAATGGACAAGATCAGAGACAATTTTGATAAGTGTAAATTTGAGACTGAAGAAAATTAAAGCAGGAAGGGAGGTTGGCATTATGCATTTCAAATGCCACCTACTTTATATTTTTCCAACATTTTACATGTATCCCCACATTAAAATAAATAGACACACCTACACACACACTAATAAAGCTGTTCTTTTTAAATAGAAAAAAAAGTAAAGGCCCTGCCCAGCTAGAATTGCATGCATCTAGAAGCTATAGGCCCCAAACTGGCACCTGCAGAAGGAATGACTTAGGATGTACATTAGTCTGAAAGCCAAAAAAAGAATCCCCCCTCCAAACAGCACTACAACCATCCAGGTGTCACGCTGCCCACATCTGATTGTCCAGTGATGAGACTGCTTCTCAGAACTCTTGCCGTTGTCCCTGAGAAAAATATGTGCACAAACAGGGCAGCTGCTTATCAACAGTTTGTTCTTTGCTGCATGTGTTTTCTTCTGCTGTTATTAAAATAAGCATAAGATCTCTTTCTTAAGATCTGAAAAGGGCTTTCAAATATCTGTAAGATCCATCCTCACCCACGTCACATGAAAATAATTACATAGCCATATTAGTATTTTTATTTAATGTAAGGCCTTTCCCCATACACTGTCCCTTCTTCCTCTCAACTGAAGGTGCACAACCAGCTAAAAGTTTTGGTAATATTAGAGGTGAAGTAAGATTTAGGATTGCATTAGTGCTAATCACCTTAAAAGAATGTCCTGGTTTTGGCTGGGATAGAGTTAATTTTTTTCCTAGTAGCTGATATAGTGCCGTGTTTTCGATTTAGGATGAGAATAATGTTGATAGCAACAACTGAAACATCAGTGTGTTAAGTAGTGCTTACACTAAGTCAAGGACTTTTCAGCTTCTCATGCTCTACCGACTGTCAAGGCTGGAGATGCACAAGAAGCTGTGAGGGGGCACAGCCAGGACAGCTGACCCATATTCCATACCATATGATGTCATGCTCAGTATATAAACGGGGGGAAGGCTGGTTGGAGGGATGGTGCGCAGGGACTGGCTGGGCATCCGTTGGTGGGTGGTGAGCAATTGCATCGTGCATCACTTGCTTTGTATATTATTATTACTACTACTACTATTATTTTATTTTATTTAAATTATTAAACTCTTCTCATCTGAACCCATGAGTTTTCTCGCTTTACTCTTCCAATTCTCTCTCCCATCCCACCGGAGGAGAAGTGAGCGAGCAGCTGTGTGGTGGTCTGTGGTCTCCACTACAGAGAAGGACAAAGTATCAGCAGAAAGGGGGAAAAGACAATTTACCCAGAAACAAAGATTCAAGTAAAACAAACAACAATGCACTGCTATTGCTCTGTCCTCTGGCAGCTGAAAACAAAATTAATCTCCACAATAACCTTTCAAGCAGTCACATGGATTCTCCTACAGGCTTCAAACCAAAGAGCTTCCATTAAAGGGTATTATGAAGAGTTGGGTTTTAATGAACATTTCCTTATTTTCTTCCTTATACTCAATTTTCCATAAAATTTATCCTGACATGGACGCTGCCACTAGGGACTCACTGCAGAATGACTTTTCTTTTTTCAGTAATATGTTGTACTTGCAAATAACCACCTTTCCCATTTATGAAATCTGGACTTCTTATTGCAGGCAACCCCTGCTGATCTTTTATCATCAGAAAAAAATATTTTTGTTGCTGAGGGACAAGGGAATAATGAGTGCACATATGTTTTGTGTACTACTCTTTTCATTTTAGTTTTAAATAAATATAATAAAAGACCAAAATGTACTCACCGGCTTTGTTTATATCAAGCTCTGATAACTTTAAGGCTAGTTCACTAGAGTTCCCACCCGGAGAGGACACAAGTATATCATGTAACGCATTTCTTCTACCTGTTCTTCCTGAAGCAATAAAGTCTGCATATGTAGATTCCACATCAGTCATTGCTAACAAATATCCACATAGCAGTACCTGGATGGGCGAAAAAAAGAACAACACTTAGAACACCAGAAATGACATTATGGAACAGGAATAGAAGAACTAGAGGCTTCTCATTGTGGAGTAGACTGGCTATGCAGTAAGCAGCAAAAGAAGATGCCTCAATCCCAAAACTTGGAGAGATTAGAGAAGAAACAGAGTAGAAAGAAAAAAAGGTGTGTGGATTTTATGCAATCTGTATTCAACAGTATTTAAACAACTTCATTTTTCATGCTTCATAAAGTGCTAGTGAGTACTTTATAAAAGCAATGACCTCAGCAACATAATTCCTTTATAGAGCTGTCTCTGCTTTTAATATTAGCTGGGAAGTAGGAGGTAGATAGGGGGTGGAAGAAAGTTCTTTTCTGCACAAAATGCAGAGCGTAAGGAGTAAGAAAGTACAAATCAATAACGCTTTTGCACGCAGAACACCATGCTCATACACAGGCACAGCTATGTTTTGTGTATTTTCCTTTCTGTTGGTATGATTAGTTTTGGCATTGTAGATAGACCTCTTCAGACTCAACTAATTTATTTTGGTGTGGTAGTTGCACCAAAGTGAATGCATTACCATAAAGTCACTGGACTGGAGACATGCTAACAGAGCAAGCAGCATAGCTAAACTATAATGCAGAGGTTAGAAAGCAATGCTCTGTAAGCCAGATGTAAACTCAGAACTTCTTTTCATTAGAAAATAACTATTTCTCATGTTATTATAGAATAATGTGATGATGTGCATTAATGTAAGATCTGCCGAAGGTACAAGGAAACTTCTGTTTCAACCTCAGTAAGAGAAAGATTTTCATCCCTGCTGGAGTATCTGCTATAGATCTAACCTGTTAGGATTTTTTTTCTTTTTCTTAATTTATAGAATTATAACCAGAAACTGGGGGCAGGGGCATAAGGGCAACATTGCACAGTTGCATACAGTGAGAAGCTTTAGCTATTATTGCTAAAGTAGCTGAAATATCACATTTGCAGAGTGTACAGTTTTTTTAAATCAGTTCCTGCTGCAGTTGCTGGACACTGAAGAAGCCCCTGAAGTCATCACAAACACTAACAGCAGCAAAAGATTCATCTTTCTCTCTTCAAATAAAAATAAAAACTCATCTTTTAGAAACAGTTTTTATTTTAAACCAGATACATAAAAGAAAACAGCCAACCCTTCCCCACACTCAACTCTCAATAACTTCACAAATCCTGTCCATTCTTCATCTTCATTTTAGTCCTCAGCTCCCCAGTTTCAGTCCGCAATATGAGGGTGTACATGTGATGTGTCTTAGAAGCCAAGAAAAGGGTTCTACACCGTATTTTATTTAGTCTAAATATAACTATATCAAGTATCATTGCAAGACTGACTGACTTAAAAAGAAGTTCATTGCTATCAAGCTTTGGTGTCCCATGCCAAATGCTGAATGGCTGACAAGATAATTTTACTCCTATGAACAACAACTATGAAACAGGAAACCGCCTTAAAAAAAAAAACAACCACCAAAAAAACCCCCAAAACAACAAAAAACCCCCAAACAACAACAAAAAAAACCCCAAACCCAAAACAACCAAAAAAACCCAACCCACAAAACGTAACACCACCACCTAGAGAATGGAAAGAGGTCAGCATTGACTGAAAGCCTGCCTGACACGCACAAAATAGTGTAGTGCCTCTCAATTAACAAATGCTTTCATGAGCATGAGAGCATGTGTACTTCTTCCCATGAAGTGCCCTCTTCTTGAAGCACTGCAAGAATATTAAAGCAAATGAGAAGTTTACCATTTGTTTTTTGCCCAGGGTGCAGACATCTCAATGCCAAATACATCAACCATATAGTAATGAAGCCTATAACTTGCAAAGGTGAAGGGAAACAGTGAAGACAGTTGTGATAAGGTAAGAAAACAGCACAAGTTTTCAGACTTATCTGACCTGTTCACTGAAGAATATCATCCAGCAAGATCAGAAGATAAAAGATTTTAAGTGAAACTTACATGACTTACATTTGTTCATGCCTGTTATTGCAACTGGCCTGTAGAAAATTAACTGCAAAACCTGAAAGTAATCAATGTACAGGCTTGGATTTTTTCATTAGTGTAGCACCAGTACAAAGTCATCATAGCTATCACTCCTGCCAAGACATTAGTTTATTTTAACATAGAAAAAACACCACAGAGAAGAATATTATTTTGGTACTTTGGAAGCTGCATATCAATGCATCAGGAACAGAATAAGCAGAGAAGACTATGACTGAGGTGGAACAAGCTATAGGGCTGTAAGGCTGGCAAAATGAGCAGTGTTGTACTCCATGAGCAATTCCCTGGACTGTACAAACTGCACTCCACAGAATACTCTCCTGTAAGATTATATTCTTCTTGAAACATTCCATAAAACATGGAGAGCACTGGGGGAAATCTCAAGCTTATTTAATTTTAGCTATGAAACAAGCTATAAAGCCATAGGAAAAGGTGCTTGTGGAGAACTTTATTTTAAAGGTTCATTTTCTATAGGCTCAATATGGCATTACTAACAACATTCTGATCAAAAAAGAATGTTACCAAACATACATTTATTAACACTTCCAAGTTTTCCTGTCTGCGTCTTCTCCTAAATGTCAAACACCATTCTGTTTTGTATTGGCATTATCTTGAGACATTACTGCATAAATATGGAACTCCACTGACATCATCCGAGAGCTCCCCTTCCAATGAATGGCTCAATGCCCAGCAGTCTGTAATTATTCACTGAACCAGTCATTAAGGAATTACCATTCACTCCAAAAAACCTTTTTTTCCTTCAGCCTCTGTGAAAGGAGTGGAATTTGCTAATAATTCTGTGAAACATAATTTGAATTTCCTAACTAATTGTATTAACAGATATTCCTGTGTTAAAGATTGTGGTCACAGTCCCACTAGTTCTAGTAAACTTTTTTTTTTTTAAAGTTGCAAAACCAATACTCTGCTACATGGTATTGAACTGAAACAAGAAGTCTGCAAACCTCACTGCTTCTGCCAACTGAACCAGCAAACTAAAGAAAGCAGTTCTGTGAGCATAAAGACTAATGAAACCTGCTGTCACAGTATTGGATTCCTTGGTAACTGATAAGATACTATCCCATCTGAAGTCTCCCCTAGCTGTGCTTCATCTTTCCCCCCATGGGGAGTCACTTTGCCTGGTAATGGGTTAGAGTTTGCAATGCAGCCCTGGGGATTTTCATATGGCATCTTTCCTTTCCTCAGCTTCTTAGTTTCATAAAACTTCTAGAAATATGGGTAATCTTAGACTTCTGTGTCTTTCCTCTCCCAACTCCTTCCTCGCAAAGAAAGTTGTGCTGAAAATTAGTTGAAAGCACTTGAAGAATTTTGGAGGATGAGGAAGGTAGATAGGGATAGTTGCTATCTTGGATTTTAGCCAGTGTAACAAGACATCTCTGTATTATTAATGAATATTCTGGATAACATATACTGCTACACCTGCAAAAGGCCTACTTCTATATCCTATGCAAATGAAGAAGTTTTACAGGTAGCATCATAAGGAATAGAATTAGTATCCAGAGAATGGAGGAGCAGAAAAGAAGGATGACAAGAACAGTGTAATTTAATAGGTACAGAAAGAATCAGTATTTGTTTTTTCAGAAAATTCCCTGAATACTCCTTGTTCTCCACAATTCAATTTCTGCATAGATTTTCCATTTCCATGCCATATATAACAAATCTTATCCCCCAAGTTTCTGAAGCTAACTGTCAAATTTCTACAACTGTTTTCCTTCTTCTAAGTACTTCGGTTTTATTGAAAGAAGTCTTAAAAGGAACTAAAAAGTTAGCGATGGCTTCACAAATGAAATCCCAATTTGACTGCATTCCATAATCATTCTGTGAAACAAGGTGTTACACAGTGCCGTTGTTCTCAAGAGTTTGGAAGAGAAAGTACAGAAATTATGTGGCATACCAGCATGAATTAAAAATCAGTGTCTATACAGTTTATGGGCTAGAAGTACCTAGAGTTGTTGAATTTAGCCTGTTTAAGGGACTAGCTACCTAAAAGAACCCCAGACACATTTAAAGTACCTTCACTAATTGGTATTTATTATTATTTTAAAAGGAAGACAGAATAAGAATGGGCATTTGACACACGGCTTGTCTATGGGATTTGGCATATGTTGCTGGCTAGCACAGGAGAGCTGACATTTTATTGCAAACCTGCAGTATAAGGCTAAGAGGTACCATCCTTCAACGTTTACTCCCCCTCTTTCTCCATATATACTTAGTGATGACATTGAATAAGGGATTTTCAAATAAAACTCTCCAAGGCTTTGGCTGCTGAATGTTGTATCACGATCAGCACATTATTTAAATACAATTATCTATATTCAGCTTTCATAAGGGAACAAAAAAAAAAAAAAGAGAGAGAGAGAACTTGTCATTTAATAGCACGTCTGCTTTAGAGAAGGTATATAATTATGCTTTTAAAATAAATTTTGGTTCCAAACCTAGCCTTAGCTTAGAGACAGAGCTCTTTCCAGTGAGGAGAGGGCTCTATTCCACAGCAACCTGTACTTAGATTCCCATCTCATGCATGGTCTGCTATGTTGAAAGCAGAAATAGAGCAACAATTTAACAGAAGTGTACTTCTTCCACAAGAGATTATATCTGTTGTGCTATACAATAGTATTGCTTTTGCACAGACACAGATGAGCAAGAAAATAGCATTAACTCTTGAAAGCCAATTAAAGGAACATAAATGTCCATGCCAGCTAGCGAGCTGGACAGTATTTTAATCTGCACTTTGAAAATCCCTTATGTTGTTTTGTCTGTCTGATGTTTCTGAAGTTACCACCTCTATAAAATAGTAATGTAGAACTTATTGTTCTTATTGTCACTTACTGTTTTGACAGTTAATGTATTTTTATTGTGAACATAGTATATGTAGTACTCCTAGTACTAATAAGATCTTATTGGGAAATTCAACTGGTTAAACAATGAAACAGAACAAAGAAAATGA